CATTCCCCGCTTCTCCAAAGAGTCCCAAGCAACTGGAACTGCCAACCCAATACCCTTTATTTAACTTCTACTATTTTACAAGAGAAATAAATTATCAGCAAATCCCTGATGCTAATAATTTATCCCTTCCCTTGTAGGTTGGGCGGGTCAGGGGACTGACCCCTTACAAAACTGTCTTGGACCACTAAACATGCAACTAGAGGTTAGACTGCTGGTAGACCTGGGGGTTCCTGGGAGGGTGATGATTTCTTTTCCAGTCTACAGCAGATCTCAGCAGCAAGACATTCTTGCATTGGGCTGCAGGCCATACATCTTCTTCCCACCCAAGTCCACAAATCCTCACCTGGGTGGCATTGGGAGTAGGGGGAATAGTGGTGAGCCTTCTATGTCTCTGGGCGGGTCTGGGGATAGAATAGAGGAAAAAAGAGAACACACAAATCTGCCTGTTTCCAAAGTATGGTAAGTATACTACCTGTTCACATTAAGGGAAAACAAAGCACTTGTTGGTAGGGTGGTTAGATGTGTTAGGGCTAAGCCCCACCTTGGGGCATTTCTGGGCAAACTGAGTTGGAGGAATCCCTTGAACCAAAGCACTCAGGTTGGGCCGCATCCTTGTATGAACACATCCAGAACCAGCATTTGAATTCCATTATTCAAAAGGGTTCTGGTATCATCTGTTCGCAGGCTACATCCTCAGGAGAGCTGCTATAGCAGTGTACCATCCAACTCTTTCTGGTGTCTAGAAGTCATACCCCATTAAAATATAATTAGCCACTTCCTCTGGGGGAGCCTACCCCATCAGACAAGCACAGACATACTCAAGCAGTGTCAGGCCCTCAGGGATGGGTGGATGATGGCAAGCAGAAACAGAATCTTATGTTATCGGGGCTTGTTTGGCTTAAGCACATGACCTCACTTCCCAGCAATCTACCTGAGGCTGGACACATTTGAAGAGTGGGCATTAGATTGCTTTGGTCTTTGCCTCCCCGCAACCTGAACTTCAACCATCTTTGGACCCAGGATTGCAATTTAGCCTTGCCTCTCATGCTGTCACCGCCAAATTTACCTATTCAAATCCTGAGATTGGAACCATGGGGAAGACTGGTGAGCCCTGGGCTACAGGCCGATTGGCAGGGAAATGCAGACCACTCCTGCATTCTTGGGCAGCCAAGGAAGAGAAACATATTACTTGGGCATAAACTACCAAACCCCGGAAATTTGTTACCCCATCAACTCTCAATATAGTTCTGCCAGTAAGGGATTAGTCTCCCCACATATGAAAGATAAGTTCAGATAGGACATACCCAAGATGACATATTAAGTGGTCCCAGGAATGGAACCCAGGGGTGATTAAAACATGCAGGCCCTTTCCTCTGCATTGTACTGTCCCTTTAACATTGATTAAGCACCTACTGTGTGCCAGCTTCTCATCAGCTCTTTAAATAAGTTCTCTCTTTTTTTGGTTTTAAAAGATAGGGTCCTGCTAAAATTTCACTCTGAGTCTTCTTGAATGAAGTCCAGCTTACTTCAGACTATCTTGTTATCAAACTCTCCTGGTAGATAATAGTATTATAATGAAAAATTGGGATGCCAGGACAACTAAGGCCATTTTACAATCATATGGCATTTCATGATTTAACATTTAAAATCTTTTCTAGTACTCCTGAGAGATACTGGTTACTAAGTACCAGAAATAAGAGGGATCTTGATGATTAAGAAATAGCATGGGAACATAAACTGGCCCAAATCAAACAGAGAAACTAAAGTAGTCATGTCAGGGTAAGAATATGGGGCTCCTGATTCTCTACAGGATGTCACAGGTTTTTTAAAAAGCTGTTTCTTGAGTCTTTTACCTTTTTTAAAAAATTAAGGTATAATTTACGTATAATGAATTGCCAGTTATAAGAGTAGTCATGGGGATGTAAAGTATGGCATAAGGAGCATAGTCAAAAGTATTGTAATAACTATGTATGGTGTCAGGTGGGTACTAGATTTATCAGAGTGATCACTTGATTAGGTATATAAATGTTTAATCAGTATATTGCATACCTGAAACTAATATCGTATGTCAACTATAATAGAAAAAGAAAAAAATTTTAAATGTTTACCCTTTATACTATAAATTCTGTGAGTTTGGACAAATGTACACAGTAGTGAACTAGCATCACAAGATATGCAATAGTTACATCACCCCCAAAACTTTCAGGCCCCTTTGTAGTTAACCCCCACCCCCACCCTCAGATCCAGGGAACCACTGATCTGTTTTCTGTCTCTATAATTTTGCCTTAGCATGAATGTCATGTAAAAAGAGTCATACAGTATATAGGCTTATTTTATGCCTATAGATTTTTAAATTTCTATTTAAAAATTTTACATAGAATAAAATTTCCTCTGCTGTACAGTTCTATAAGCTTTCACAAGTGCATACAATTGTATAACCAACACAATCAAGGTATAGAAGTTTCATT